AACCTCTCGCAGGTAGACGACCAGATCAAGGGCATTTTTGATATCGTCCGCAGGATATCCACTGCGCAGCTCAAAATTCGCAACGTCCTTGCTATAGCTGTACAGAAGCGCTGTCCTCGCCTCATTGTACACTGGCCTGATCATACCCAAGCTGATGGACGTATCGTTTACAAGTGCGACATGCATCGTGATCGCAGTTACCTCGTCCGAGGAGAGACATGCCATCGTAAGAATGCGATTCATTTCGAACACTGCTTCACAAACGACAACAGCATAGTCCTTGTGTACGCTGAAGCCGTCTTGCTGGAACTCTACAATGAAGAAGGGAAGCTGCTGCTGTCTCTCATTCAACACTACCGCAGCGAAATCGGATCGCGCAGAACCATGCCTACCGTTACCAGGCAGCAGATGGTGGTGCTCCAAACCGGCTCGAAACGAACTTCATTCAGTGTGAAAGAGTCCGACAAAATCATCGCCCATACCTGCGCTGCAACGTGGCGCTCAGATGGTGGACTCCCAGGCCCACGACATGGGAATGGGTTGTAGAGAGCTACGGACATGATCACTGAGAGTGCAGTAGGAGTGTGCACAATGTGGTCAGCACTGTTGTCCTGTAAACCCAGCCACTTCTTGAGAAGCACTTGAAACCCGACAACCACTTTTCCGACTCTCCCTTCTGCCACCAGCCTCTCCAGGATGCTGATTGTATGTGAAAAATGATGGCCGGGATCCTCTGTAAGAACTACGCAAATGTTGTCTAGATTGACAGCAGGTCTCGAGATCGTCGGTAAGGTTTGAGGCATCCTGAAGACTTTGCTGTCCACTACAGACCATTTCAACAACTTGGAGAGATATCGACCATGCTGAGCCACTTCATCAACGTGACTCTCCTGCATTTCCCTAAGCATTTGGCAGTAGTCATGTAGAGCCGGAAACTGACCGATGTCGATGCTCAACTCCTCGATGCAAGAGTCTTGCCAGTGATCGTCCTTGTCACGCTTGCGCCTTTTCTGCTGATTCAGCTTAGAGAACAATATCCTGAACTTTAGCAACTAACTCATCACAACAAAGTAGACTTGTTGTCAAGTGAAGAGAGAAAAAATCCAAGAGCAATTAATGGGTGCTCAAATTGAAGTTAAAAAATAATGGGAGAACTTCTTTACATGATCTTAGAATTGGAGGAATGCAACGAGGGAATGACTTGTGACTTTTGCCTTGACTTTAATAGGAGAAAGAAAAGCAGTTTGTCAAATTTGAAACCCGTAATAAAGTGAGTCATAAATTGGTTAGTAATGCGTGTGCCTGCAAGAGATAATCGAGTATTTATCTGCCGCTTTTACTGTGATCTGCATAGCATTGAAAAATCCGGTTGTAATAATACCCAATCAGATTTTTTGAGAGGAGTTATCGAGAAATACATGTTTATTATTGGTTATAAATCAAAAATTATAATTTACCTAAAAATTAACCGTGATAATAATCCGAATTATTACGGGAAAACTCGGGGAAAGCGGTGGGAAAAGCGGCAGATAAATACTTGATTATTGCGAAGAGTGTAAATGAAAATTTGAGAACAATGAACTACCGAAATGTGAGAAGTGTAAAAAACTAAAACTAGGATGAGTTTTCACTACAATTGTCCTGAAAGCAACGAAAAAGAACTTCCTGCTCTACCTTACAAAGAAAGGGCAGCTACTAAGTATGAACGGCAAATAAATTCTTTGCAAGAACAGTTAAACACTGCTGAGTGAACTATTAACGAAGTGAAGATTTTATGGAGAAGTCTGAGGAATGAAGTAAAAGGCAAAAACAAGAATTGTTGCATAGAATAAAAGAGTTAGAAATGGAAGTAGAGATTAAAAAAGCTGACTCCTCTAAACGCCGTAAGCTTAATTTACTGCGCAGCTCCGACGGTCACGTGTGGAAATCGATCAGCAGAGATAGATGTAACGGTGCAATACTGCGCCGGTGTAACACATTGCTGCACTCACTGACAACTGCATGTAACAGCAAGTGCTGAGAGTTGCAAGTGGCGACAGAATGCTTGCATTTAATATTGTTGTAATAGTAGCGTAATAATAAAACAATAGTAAGTAGATAGACGTAGAGTAATTAGTAATAGCTGCTAAAAATAGATTACTTATAGACGCCGAAAGATATAAAAGCAGCTGGAGTTGAAGTTGAGTTCGGTGTGTTCAATTAGCGTTCAAACAGTGTTATCAAAGAAGCTCATAATCGAAGACGTTCGATTTCCTTGTATTATATCAATAAATATCTTTTATTTATAAACTTATCCCTATTCCTTACGATTATCCGTTATATTGTTAATTATTACTTTGTTTACGCGTAATTTCTTATTAAGACCCCAACCGATAGACTACCGATCTTATCCACCGGTAGATAATCGTTCTCTATACTCGAGAATAATTGACGATCTAGGATTAGTGTCTCTACGTTTACTATTTAGAGTAAACTCGAGTAAAGCCTACTTAAAGGTCACTAACTGTTAGTCATAAGGACGTTGTCGAAAGGTGAACCACGCACCGCTCTAAATTGACGCAGCTAATCCTTAACCGAGTCATTAGTTATCCGCTCTCCCGTGACTTTTGACTCGACAAACTGATTAATGAGATAGAATTTTATAAAGAAGAAGTTGCTTGATTAAAACAGTTAGAAAAATTGAATTCTCAACAGAGTGCTCAAATTGAGGTTAGAAAGTGACCTTGATCGAAAATAAGGAAGAAAATTGAGGAATTCAAATCTTTAAAAGTTATAAGCAAAACAAAAATCTTTAGGCCTGATACCCCAAATGTTCACTTTGTCTGGTTTTGTTACAGCACGCCCCAAATTACAATTTTTCTCTTGATGAATGAAAGTAATCATAATGTAACGAATAATGATCGAAACATTGACTGTGATCGTTATCATAATAATGGTTAATTTTTTTCAATATTTAAGCCCCGTTTACCATTTTTTTTTCTTAAATCCTTTCAAAATAATAAAAAAATCTCGCTTTTCGTTTGCTTTCCTCTCGAAAATAATAAAACAATAAAAACCCAAGAGTAAAGCCCAATAATAAAATCAAGCTAGTCTCAATCTGGTGATTGCTTCGCCGATATCGATATAAATTGCCGATCTATCATTAATTTTCCAATATGATTGTGGCACATCATCATATTAGTGCCACAGGTTGCCATACTACAGATGTTTCCTTTTTTAAAA